ACGTATAACATTTCTGTGATCAACCCTTCAATTGATTTTAGTGTACTTGTTGATATTATCTCAGAAGTCATTTTTAATAGATCAGACCTCCATTTAAAAAAACCCTATGAACAGATTCCAAATTCTCCTGACTCTTTAAGCGCTAGCAGAGGCTTCTATTTAAAAATCTTCATCTGGAAGTCCTTGTCAGAGCAATCAGGCAAGAGAAGGAAAGAAAATGTATTCAAATAGGAAAAGAAGAAATCAAACTATCTCTCTTCACTGACGATATGATTCTACACCTAGAAAGCCCTGAAGACTCTGCCAAAAGGGCCCCTGGAAGTGATAAATGACTTCAGTAAAGTTTCAGGATACAAAATAAATGTACAAAAATCAATAGCATTTTTACATATCAGTAACGTTCAAGCTGACAGCCAAATCAAGAACGCAATCCCATTTACAATAGCCACAAAACATTAAATCCCTAGGAATACATCTAACCAAGGCAGTGAAAGATCTCTATAAGGAAAACTACAAAACGCTACTGAAAGAAATCGTAGATGACACAAACAAATGGAAAATCATTCCATTCTCATGGATTGGAAGAATCAATACCGTTAAAATGGCCATACTGCCCAAAGCAATCTACTGATTCAATGCTATTCCTATCAGACTACCAGTGTCTCTTGTAAAATTCATATGGAAACAAAAAAGAGCGTGAATAGCCAAAACAAACCTAAGCAAAGAGAGCAAAGCTGGAGTCATCACACTACGAGACTTCAAACTATGCTATAAGGCTACAGTAACCAAAAAAGCATGATACTGGTACAAAAACAGACACACAGACCCATAAAACATAATAGAGAACCCAGAAATAAAGCTTCATACCTACAGCCATCTGATCTTCAACAATGCTGACAAAAAATAGACAGTGGGAAGGGACTCCCTGTTCAATAAATGATGCTGGGATGGCAGGGTAGCCATATGCAGAATGAAACTGGACCCCATCCTTTCACCATATACAAATATGAACTCAAGATGGATTAAAGTTTTAAATGTAAGACATCAAACTTTAAGAATTGCAAGAGAAATACCTAGGAAACACCATTCTGGACATTGGCCTTGGGAAAGAATTCATGACTAAGTCCTCAAAAGCAATCACAATGAAAAAAAATTGATATGTTAATTAAAATTGATACATTAGTTACAAACTAAAGAGCTTCTGCATAACAAAAGTAACTATTAACAAGGTAAGCAGACAACCTACAGAATGGGAGGAAATATTTACCAAGTATGCATCTGACAATGGTCTAATGTCCTATAAGGTAATTAAACAATTGGACAAACAAAAAACAATGCCATTAAAAAGTGGGCAAAAGACATGAACAGACACTTCTTAAAAGACATACAAGTGGCCAATAAACATATGAAAAAATGCTTCACATCACTAACCAGAGAAATGCAAATCAAAACCAAAATGGGATACCATCTCACGTCAGTCAGAATAGCTATGATTAAAAGGCAAGAAATACTCTTCACAATGGCAAAGGATTGGAATCAACCTAAATGCCCACTAACAGTGGACTGGATAAAGAAAAGGTGGTACAAATACACCAGGAAACAGTATGCAGACATAAAAATGAATGAAATATTGTCTTTTGTAGCAACATAGATGCAGTTGGAGTGAATTAACGCAGGAACAGAAAACCAACTATTGTACATTCTCACTTACAAGGGGGAGTTAAACATCGGTACTCATGGACATAAAGATGGCAACAGTAGACACTGGGGACTGCTAGATGGGGGCTGGAGGGAAGGAAGGGTTGAAAAACTACCTGTTGCGTGCTGTGCTCTCAACTTGGGTGATGGAATTATTTGTACCCCAAACCTCAGCATCACACAGTATACCCGTGTAACAATCCTGCAAACAAACAACAACAAAAAAGGTAATCCATTTGTGAGATGTGTGAAAACTGAAGTGATGAAATACAGCAGCAAGTGGGGATGTACACCAGGGTCCAAGCTTGATGATAAACAGGGGATTCAGAAGGATGCCCCCATGTACTCAAATGCTCAGGACTTCAAATGCAATTAATTGGAGGGGACGACTTTATTAAAGTCACTGCCACTTGCCTTAAATTCATCCTGCTTCTTACTAGGTCTGTCTGCGTGGGAATGTAACTTCTTTGGACCTCAATTTTCTTATCTATTGATCAAAGAAATTGGACTAGGTGATTTCCATCACTTCTTCCCACTCTTTGACTTCTTTATAACTTAGTTTGTCTATTTTGCTGTTTCCAGGGCACGACCATAATAACATCACTGACTTCTGTGCTGCACAATGACAAAGAATTCCCCAACCCAGAGATGTTTGACCCTGGCCACTTTCTGGATAGGAGTGGCAACTTTAAGAAAAGTGACTACTTCATGCCTTTCTCAGCAGGTAATAGATATTCATTTTCATCTGTCCTTCAGGTGACATGATACCTTTTTGGGATCATTTGACTCTTACATGATGCCTCCTCTGGTGTCTGGCTGAATTGCTTTGCAGATCATTAGCACCGTTCCCTATGCCTATGTGATTTCCCTGCTGATGAACATCCCCGTTATTCAGCCAGATTAGTGGGGCTTTGGGGAGGTGATCCAGTTTTTCAAACTGAAAAAGCTAGAGTGTAGGTTAATTTAATTCTGCCTCTAGATACAACACTGAGCTACCCAAGAGCTCCTCTTACTGGGTGAAACTAAGACATTTCTCATCTGTTATGAGAAAAGTATCTAATTTCATGACTTTGAATATCTGCCCTGTGGTGTCCTTTGCTCCCCAGACTGAGCTCTAGGTATCTGAGCTCAGAAGTATCTGAGAGCAGAGAATGGGCTCCTAAGAGGCTCACTTCTGATTTAGAGAAGTAGACAAGTAAACAGATCATTGTAATCTCATAGGAGGAAGGCTGCCAGAGGGGAAAGCACAGGATGTTGGGGAGCTCAGCAGGGGAAGCTGCCTGCTTCCTGCTCATTCATAGGCCATACCACTTCCAAGAGGAAGGAAACTTAAGCTACCTCATTGGAGTGGGAAGCCGGACAAGAAGAGAAGGCAGGAAACTTTTACAGAGGTAATGGACCACAGTAGCAGGACATTTTTTGTAGATCTAGGTGGTTAGAACCTGCCAACAAATTTCAGGGTCAACAAATCTCACGAAACCCTGAGAATATGGAAGAATAGTCTGCGATTATTCCAGAGTACCTTGATCTCCCTCCACTCATGATCATACATCTTGGATATTCAATCTCTACAGCTGAAGTGTGTGGTGAGTCTGTGGACATAGAATTCCCTTCATTTTTTTCTCTGGCTTTTGATCTCTGCTTTGGATCTGGCACTGTATACACTAATAATGTCAAGAACTGAGACCTTTTAAGGATCTCGCGTTTTAGCAGGATAGAAAAACAAATACACAGATAATAGAATTCCAGGTGATTCATGCTCCAGTGGAAGCATGAATATGATGAGGAAACCTGGAGAGGGTGTTTCTATTGACTAGGGATCACAGAAATCAAAAAGAGGAAATGACATGGGACATAAATTCTGAAGGAAGCGTAAGAGTAGAGCTTTTTAGACAGATAGGACAGCAAGAGATAACGCTTGAAACTTTGTGGTGTGTTGGAGATTGATGAAGAATGGATATGCCTAGAGCTGAGAGTGGAGGAGATGAAGAATGGAAGATGTGATATAGAATGTCAGCCTGGAAACAGAATGTGAAGAGTCAGGTCAAGCCATTTGGCCCTTATCCCATAGGACAGATGGGTGTCATTTAAAGTTGTAAAGTGAGAGAGTGACATGTTTAGACATGTACTTTTGAAAGTATACTAGGAAAAAATATTTGGCTAAATATTGTGCCAGAAGTACAAAGGGGAACACAGTATATGAGCCTTCTCCTTTCAGCCCTTCTTCCTTGTGAGTGCATTTCTAGAAAAAGACTGATGGAAACTAGTAGTGTCAAAAGAGCAGTTATAATGTGGGAATACTTAGTGAAGTACATGGCATACAGCTGATACTCTATAAATATTTGTTGAGTGAAGGGTACTTAGTAACATAAGATATTAAGTAGATAGGAAATGTATCCATTTTTCTTTCTGTGTATCCAACCTTCCTTCCAGCCATTCTGCCTTTGATCCATCCATCTATTTAATCATTTATCAAATAGTTACTGCATACTTTTTGTGACTGTTCGTGACCTAATGTTCAGGGAACAAATCGTCTATGTCTGTTATTTTCAGGAAAACGGATGTGTGTGGGAGAGGGCCTGGCCCGCATGGAGCTGTTTTTATTCCTGACCACCATTTTGCAGAACTTTAACCTGAAATCTCAGGTTGACCCGAAGGATATTGACATCACCCCCATTGCCAATGCATTTGGTCGTGTGCCACCCTTTTACCAGCTCTGCTTCATTCCTGTCTGAAGAAGAGCAGATGGTCTGGCTGCTGCTGTGCTGTCACCTGCAATTCTCCCTTATCGGGGCCATCACCCTCTTCCTTCCCACCATGAGGGATATCTTCTCTGACTTGTCAACCCACATCTTCCCATTCCCTCAAGATCCAGTGAACAACCCCCATTAAAGAGAGTTTCTTGGGTCACTGCATACATATATCTGCTATTCTCCACACTCTGTAACACTTGTATTGACCACCACATATGCTAATACCTATCTACTGCTGAGTTGTTAATATGTTATCACTATAAAACAAAGAAAAATGATTAATAAATGACAATTCAGAGCCATTTATTCTCTACATGTTCTAGATAAAAAGGATTATTATTTGCTGGGTCAGTTCTTAGATTTCTTGCTTTTGAGTAAAATGAAAGTGAGAAATGAAAGAAAATAGAATGTGAAGAGGCTATGCTGGACCTCATAATGTTAAGCACAAAAAGGGAGAAAGGTAAGAGGGTAGGAAAGCTGTTTTGGCTGAGTATCACCTAGAATTACTGGAAGTCTGGATTTGGAACAGAAAAACTATTTCCAGAAGCAGCTGTAACCTGTAGGGAAATACTGAAACAATCAGCCATAAGAGGAATGAACATTAAGTGTTTGAATTCATGATCTGATTTTGTGTTACTGTAAACACAAGATCAAGATTTGGATAATCGTTTTCCTTTGTGTTTCCAACTTAGATCATGTCTAAATATATGCTTTCGTATTGCTAATCATGTGTTAATGGCTGTTATTTTTCTCTTCCAAACAAGAGCAAAATCTCCAGAAATCCTCACCAGGTTTTATTTTTTTCTATCTTGCACCGCATACTTTTTTTTATTTTTATTTTTATTTTACTGAACATAAATGCAATGGTAATTAGATGCTACGATCCTGAAATTATTAGCCTTATGTCAACTCTAAAGCTTAAACAAGTGAACAACTCATAGGCATCAAATTCTAGTCATCTTTTTTTCCTTCCTTCTGTCTTGAAGTGTATGAAATGAGAAGTGACACATTAACTTTTTCTCGGCTCATCTCCAAGAGAAAGCCATTTATACTCATTGTGCATTTGTAAGATTACACATGTGTATAGTTTTATAAACATACATATGTCTGTATAGGTGTATATTTACACATAATATATACATGCATGTATATATGAGATTAATAGTGGCTCTTTAATACACTGGGTTTATATTGCACACATAATATTATATAACTTGCTGTTTTTTTTTTTTTAACTTTTAGGTTAGGAGGTCCACACGCAGGTTTGTTATATTGGTAAACTCATGTCACAGGTTTTTTTTGTACATCTTATTTCATCACTCGGGTACTAAGCCTAGTACTCAATAGTTATTTTTTTCTGCTCTTCTCCCTCCTCCCACCCTCCACCCTCATACTGTCCCTAATGTCTGTTGTTCCTTTCTTTGTGTTCATGAGTTCTCATCATTTAATGCCCACTTATAAGAGAGAGCATGTGGTATTTGGTTTTCTGTTTCTGTTAGTTTGCTAATGGTACTGGCCCCAGATCCATCAATTTTCCTGCAAAAGACATGTTTTGTACTAAACAATATGCCAGGAAAACTTCCAAGGTAGTAGAAACATAGGCAAGTCATTTCATTGGGCAGATTACAGAAGAGAAAATGGCAATGGCTATTAAGAGTATTAAAATAGCTTAAAAATAAAAAGGATACATGAAAGCAACATTACTTGTAGTATTAGCAATAAAACAGACATTTCCTTATTTAACCAATAGATAATATAGAGCAACTTTTTCACCAACACTACTATCCCATGACTGTGTTGAGCTTAAAGCAGGGAGTGAGCAATGATTGTATTAGCAATGTTGCCCAAAGTTGCTCTCCAGGTGGACTAAAGGTTCTCTAAGTTAAGTGAAAATCATAGGCATTAATAGTGATAAGAGTCTTACAATACGGAGTCTTTTTCTAGTGTTGTGGGACATGCTGTCAATAGCATGAAACCATGAAGCCATTGACTTCTCATCCTGGTTTGCAATTTGAATGTCTCTGGTTATGGGCATTGGGAGGTTTGGTAAATTTTCTGTGTTCCCCACACATCAGAAATGAGACTCATCCCTTAAAATTAATCTAGTGTCAGATTACAGGGCTTCAGGAACAGTATCAGGTCCCAGCTTTAGTAATTTCATAGAAGAAAATGGGATTAGAGAAATCTAGAAGAATTCAGGATCTAGTCTAGCTTGTAGGTAGATAACAAGAACTAGAAAACAATGTACAAGGCTACAATCCAATAACAGGTCTAACTTTTCTCTACAAACATACTTTTTCTCTCTACATTGATCACAGAGGAATCTCAGATTTATTGTTTATTTCTTTTTTTAACTTTTATTTTAGGTTCAAGTTACATGTGCAGGTTTGTTATGCAGGTTAATTTCATGTCACAGGAGTTTGGTATACAGATTATTATTTCATCACCCAGATAATAAGCATAGTTCTTGATAGGCAGTGTTTCGATTTTCACCCTCCACTCTCAAGTAGGCCCCGATGTCTGTTGTTCCCTTCTTTGTACCCATGTGTTCTCAATGTTTAGCTCCCACTTATAAGTGAGAACATGCACTACTTGGTTTTCTGTTCCTGTGTTAGTTCTCTTAGAATAATGGCCTCCAGCTCCATCCATGTTCCTGCAAAGGACGTGATCTTGTTCTTTTATATGGCTGTGCAGTATTCCTCAGTGTATATGTACACATTTTCTTTATTCAGTATACCATTGATGTGCATTTAAGTTGATTCCATGTTCTTGCTATTGTGAATAGTGCTGCAATGACCATATGTATGCATATGTCTTTATGGCAGAACAATTTATATTCCTTTGGGTAGTATATACCCAGTAATGGGATTGCTGAGTTGAGTGGTAATTGTGTTTTAAGTTCTTTGATAAATCACCAAAGTGCTTTCCAAAGTGGCTGAACTAATTTACATTCCCACCAGGAGTCTATAAGCATTCCTTTTGCTCTGCAGCCTTTGCTAGCATGTGTTATTTTTTGACCTTTTATTATGATAGTCATTCTAACTGGTGTGAGATGATATGTCATTGTGGTTTTGATTGGCACTTCTCTAATGGTTAGTGATGTTGGACATTTTTTAATGTTCGTTGGCTGTATGTATGTATGACTTCTTTCGAAACATGTCTGTTCATGTTCTTTGCCCACTGTTTAATGGGATTGTTTGTCTTTTGCTTTTTAATTTGTTTAAGTTCCTTATGGGTTCTGCATGTTAGACCTTTGTTGGATGCA